CCTAATTATTTCTTTCTGTTTTTATCTTTCACACATCGATCGCGAGAATGTGGAAGTTTACGCTTCTTATCAATTGAGATGCAATGCTTGGAAATACAAGAGAAGCGGATGAGATAATCAAGAAGAATTCGGAGCAGCAGAACGAGTGAATGAGCCGCAACTGATTTGCAAATTCCCCGAAGACGGGTAGCGGTATCCTTTAGAGAGCGTGCGTATTGAGTAGAATTTTTCAATATGGCGGACAAACACATACATTTGTCGATCTAATTCGCGTAAGTGGTGTTGCAAACTCTTCGAAGTTCCAGAAAACTTCGAAAACCAGTCATCTTGTTTACAAAATGGCAACCAATCTTGTACATCATAAAGGTATTCTGCATTTTTCTTTCTAATTTTATATCTGTTGGTACTTAATTTATATCAATTTTAGGTCTGCGGTGGAAAGATGACTACAATTTCAAATGAAGAATTATTGTGTGAATCAGACATTGACGTTTTGTCGTCTGTTTATGGGAGCACACAAGGGTGTTAATGAGAAATCAATCGTTTTGTTTTTTTTTGCTCTGAGCTCAGGGTTCAAAATAACAGCCGGCTGCGGGCGGCAGCCGGAACTTTTAGCACCTTTGCCAGCGATTTTTCACCGAAGAAGTAGAATTTTATGGAAAATATGATGGTTATTGATCGTCCCGCTGAAATAAAAGTCGCTGTCATGTTATGGTGAACATTTCATATCAGACAATAAAGCAGCTAAGAAATTTTTAAAAAGCTTTTTGAAAACGTAAACGAGTGTAAAGTTTCGAAATTTGAAGCATGCTATAAGGAGGATTTTTCTTTACAGTATTCAGCTTTCTACGTATTTGTTCAAGCGTGAACCATGCAAGTTTGTGTCACACCGTCACATTACCTTGGTTATGTTTCTGCACGTACATATTACCTTAAATCAAGATTGATTTTCCGCCAAATCCTGTTTAATATCGTTTGTAAAGCCTTCTCACGCGTTCAAAGTTAAGTTGGAGCTTGACAGTACGGATTTCCCATAGCTGTGAATGGAGAAGCGCAACAGTTTGTCTAGACAAAGTTGTATATTTCACACTTGAACAAACACCAAAAAATTGAACCGTTCACTAGGCTGTGTTAGAAAGGGAATTGCTGCAGCAAAACATGTTGATCAAAATAAAGATTCTGACGCTGAAATTTATTATTGACATCTTGTAGAAAAGGTTGTGGTTATTCATTGTGGTGAATAACAATAAAAGCTAAGTTTTTCATTTGTCTCACGATGTAGTCACATGTAGATGACATTATTACTACATGCGCAGGGTCAAAGAGGCAATTCATGTAAGAATTCACCCTAACAACATCAACAAGGATAGTGGAATAGAAATTCCAGAAGCGTGGATGTCCACGATTAAAAAAAAAACACAACAACAGGAGAGTCGTGCAACAGCAGACTGCCGAGGGAGCAAATCACTGAGTGAAAAGCAAGGATCGAAATGCACCAATCAGAGCTGTTTGAAAAACAACTAATCACAGCAGAGCATCATGCTTTATAAGATCACACATGACCAGTCGACCTCATCGCCTGAAGAAGACTAGCAGTATGCAGTTGAAACGTCTCGATTTACATCACACGTGACTACATTGTGAGACAAATGAAAAAATTAGCTTTTATTATTATTGACAGTCAGGGAAAAAAATGAGCCTTGACAAAAGCCTACAAATTCACGCTAAAAACTGAAAAATTATTTTGAACTCTGGAGCTTGCAATTTTTACCTTGTTTCATGTCTCCAAGCTTGTCCTCGTACAATAATACTTTTCTCTATTCTTGTTGCTACAGAGATCAGGGTTTAAGATGGATTCAGCTTGATGTGTTACCAGTCCTTTAGAAAAAATTTCAATTTTTTTGAAGCCTTATCTTTCCAGGATCAATTATTCTATGATTACAAAAATGTGCATGCATATTCTTTTTTACATAAATGCTGTTTCATCATCTGTTCTAGGAATCTGCAAAACCTTGCATTGGTGGACCTCCAAAAGAGTACTTTGTTGTTTTCAAAGGGATTCTCAACAGTTTAATTTAAGAACACCATCTAGTGTTTTGTTCAACCCTGCACAAAGTCAGCACCATACCACATCAGAACTAGTTCAATGCATTAAAACATTTCCACCTGGATTACCTTCTTCTTTTTATAAGAATTTCATAACTTGTTCAAGGCAGTTTGTACGTAGCTTTTGCAGTCAAAGCTCAGGGATTGACCTGCAAAATGAGGCTTCAACATCCCAGAAAAATGACTCTACTTCAAAAATCACAGGAGTTGCCCCAAAACTCAGTCATGTTGACAAGCAAGGTCATGCACAGATGGTTGATGTGGGTAGCAAGACAGAAAGCAGCAGACTTTCAGTGGCAACAGCTAAAGTGTATTTGGGTCAAACAGCATTTAACCTTGTGAAAGAAAATAAGATCCATAAAGGTGATGTTTTGACAGTAGCACAGTTAGCAGGGATTATGGCATCTAAGCAAACACCGAATCTAATTCCATTGTGTCACAATATTCACATCACTCATGCAGAGGTCAATCTAGAACTCGATGAAAAAAAGTTGGCAGTGTGTATCACAGGATCCGTGAACTCTGTTGGAAGAACAGGAGTTGAGATGGAATCTCTGACAGCAGTGACTGTTGCAGCTTTGACTGTGTATGACATGTGTAAGGCGGTTTCACGTGAAATTGCAATTTCCGATATCAAGCTTGTGAAGAAAGTTGGAGGAAAAAGTGGTGATTATGTTGCAACTTGAAAATGCATTCACAGTGGCCCTCTCACTACAACAGATTCTCAACAACCATTTGCAACAGAAGATTACAGGAGCAATGTCAAAACATGCTTTACATAGTTAAAAATGTTGTTTTTTTGTGAGAGTTATTTATCAGAGAGATTCACAGTTATTATTATCACTGATTATTAATTTGGAGCAGGTGGAGTAATTTGTACTTCACTTGGTTTGCATATTGCAAATGAAAATGGATCAACTAAAGAAATAAACAAAAGCCTTGTTGAATAATGATGAAATTATTTTAGGTTAAAGTGATTAAAAACTCATATGTGTACTTTTCTAAATGTATTCTCATTTTTCTAGTGACCTTTATTTGCTGTCTGTTTGGAGTCAAAATTCCTGTGGAATTTCCATTTAAATTCTTGTTCTTGCTAATTCAAAGTATTGCTCATTTATTTGTAGGTACAAAGCAATCTTTTTTCTTTTCAAAGAAAAGTCAAGACAAATAATTAGCAAGCAACTTCTTCATAAAGTTCTAGTATCTTTTGACTCCTTAGAGTGACTGGTATCTCATTTCTCCAAACAACTTCATCCTGAATCAAATATCAAGGTCACTAGAAAAAAAACAAACTGATTACCACCCTGTAGAAGCTCTGGATTGTTAAACAAATTCTCCTTGTCAGCACCTTAGAAAATGTATTAAGAACAGTATGGAGAATATGCATACTGATCTCAGGTTGCAAAGGGTTTCAAAAAGTGATGAGAAGGGACTTTAATTTGCTGTGGGATGATATCTCGATGTAACACCAAATTCTCTGAACTAAATAGCTGGGAAATGTATAGTAATTAGAAGGGAGAGTTACTTATCAGCCCAAGGGAGTTTAACCCTTTACACCCTAATATCAGTATGCATATTCTCCATACTATGCTTTATACATTTCCTAAGGTGCTGACAAGGAGAATTTGTTTAACAATCAAGAGCCTCTTCAGTTGGTGATCATCTCCTGTGTGATTCAGGGGAGATGATGTAAGGAGAAATTAGATACTAGTCGCTCTTAGGGGTGAAAGGGTTAAGGGTCAGATGTTTTTTTTTAGAAGCAAATGGCTGGCAGAAATGGTGGATATCTATGTAGGCAAAAATGTTACATTTTTTACAAGGTATTATTATTATTATTATTATTATTATTATTATTATTGATTAAATCTTCACAAATGGCAGTGAGAGTTCCAATAATTGGCAGAAGATTGCTAATACCTGGCTTTTATTGAATGGAAACTCTGTCAAACAACACATTATCCATCTTGAGAAAAAGCCTACATTTCGCGTGAGTGTATTTTCTTTGAAGATAAAGACGCAAATGTGGGAGAAGTAAAGTGCAGTCTGCACATACATTTCACCGTCGTTTTGAATTTTAACGGTTCCTTTCATAATACTCCAAAGGTCCTGGTGGATTCAACAGTGAAAAGAAACTCTTCTAAAGGAGTAGAGCTGTACGACCATTTCTTGCGCTCAAACCGCTACGCTCTCATATGCATATCTGAGCTATTTTTTACGGCAGGGAAAACTTCCCTTAAACGGGCCAAGAAAGTGGACTGATTTCGAAATCATTTTTAGCGTCTGTGTATTTTTTCCTACATTTCTGTTACGAGATTATCTCCAATGCCGCTTATTACTGAGTGAGCGAAAGCCGAACCATTTTAGCCAGCAGGAAACATGCCAGTAGTTTATCTTCAGTTCTCTTTTAACGTTTTTTTTCTCATGTTAGAGGAGAGCAGATATAATTTATCTTACATTGCTGGCATACACCACACAGGTGAATAGTGTTTTATGCCCACGCTGATTGGCTAGTTCAGAAATGATTTGCAAGTACTGTTCACGTACATCCGAGCAGCCAAAGAAGACAAAATCGCGCGTCAAAAGTTTAATTTCCGACCATTTTACAATGTATTGTTGGAAAAATAATAATTTTTTTGTTTCTGTGGGGCATTTACTAAAATAATTATACACCTCAGTGTCGGTGAAAGTGGTGTATATTTACCCTGGCGATTCGCAGCTTGGTAAATATCCACCACTATTCACCTCCACTTCGGTGAATAATTGTCTATTATTATAGCTTATCTCATGGGTGAGATATTGAGGGGATCTTTAGAAATATGCATTAAGGTACTCTCTCGCGTCATAACAGCATGCACCTGGAAGTACATCCGTCATGTAAGATATACTGTATTTCATAGACCACCACCCACTTTAGAAGTCAGAAGCTGTCGAGTGAAAGAACGTGCTGAAATAGACGCATTTCAAAAGGCTTTAACATGCGAGAAATTGTGCACATCCAGGCTGGCCAATGCGGAAATCAGATTGGCGCAAAGGTAAAATTTCTTGTAAAATATATATTTTTCTTTTCCTCACGAAATTCATTCGACCGGTTGATGGGAATTTTGTGATTGAAACCCAGTATTTATTTCCGGATCGATTTCAAAGTTAAACTCGCGCAGTTTTTTGTAAATGCCGTTCCTAATTTTGTTGTACATATTATACAACAGCAACGGGTATATAAATATCGTCATATATAAAATTTTTTGGTCGATAGTAAGCCTATGAAATTTCATACAGAAACTGACTTCATATGTAAATTTCACCACAGAAAGTGATTGGTTACTCTATGACATCTTTCACTGCAAGCATACATTTTCAAATTCGATACAAGTAATTGTTCATCTCAGACGAATTTGTAAAAATAACAAGAATCGGGAAAAGCTCCTTTTTTTCTTTTTCAGTTGCCTCTTTCTTGACTGTTTATCTCGCTACTAAATTTTTTACCGTATTGACCGAGATAGATGCCTTTATGTTTATTTCAGTTTTACCACACCCATAAAATATGTTCTTCGAAAAAATAATTAATCAATAAAAATATTTTTATCATACAGTCGAAATTTCACAATTTTTTCCCCATACTTTGATTCAGTACTACTTCCATATTGTAATTTTTCTTGCTGAGTACGTAATTTTAAACCTGTTTGTTCTCACTCTCCATTGAAATAAGTTATGTATCTGAAGAATAAAAGCAAATAATACTAAATTTGAGGATTTTGCGAACATGCTTTAATAATGGTTGCGACAACCAAACGAAACTTTCAATTTGAGCTAATGTATAATTTTGCATTTAATCTTGCGTTCTAGATTTGAGTACCACGATTAACAAAAGAAAAAGCATTATCATAACTTCACGTTTTGTTTTTCTTCAGCTGGAATTGACATCGTTGTTGAAGCCTTGAAAATGAAATGTTTCTTTTTAAAATCAACAAACCAGCTTTGATCTTGCAGGGCTCGCATGATATCTTCCGTAAATGACTCGCGCCGTATATTTTTCAGTTTTGGGAAGTGATTTCTGAGGAGCATGGAGTAGATCCAACTGGATCTTACAGCGGGGACTCGCAAACACAACTCGACAAAATTGACGTTTACTACAACGACGCCACAGGTAAAAGTACCAATTAAAAAACGTGAAAAATTTAGAATCTTTTGTATAAATGGGAGTAGAGATTATGTAGAATTTCTTTAGTTAAATCCCACCGCACTGAATGAATTTTACCTATAACAACAAATGAGACTTTTGAAGGCTTCCGAAGTCTGAATCCTTTCTTATCTGCCTTGGATCTGTTTCGAATGAAATTCTGATTTTGTTCTCTTATACAATATAAATAATAACAGGTTGCCAAAGTTACTTCAGGATTTTCTTTATTTCAGCTTTCAATTGTTCTCAATCATTTATTTATGGTCACGTTTTAAATCAATTACCCCTGAAAAGAAATTTTAAACGTCGGAAACTCATTTACTTCTCATTAATTATTTTCCATCTTTTTCTTCAATACAAGCGTGCATAGCATAGATATATCTCCCTGATTGATTTCTCGGTCTAGTCCTCTCATTACATATGCAATTTTCGCTGAATCTTTGAAACAAAGAAATATTACATTCTGAAGCTTTTGTTTATTTTAGATGTGAAAAAAGACTCTTAAAGGTCGCTTGTTGTTCCCTTTAGATTTAAAATTTTATAAATTCACGGCTATGTTTGTTTTTATCGAAATCCCTTTAAAAGCCGAAACATTCCCAAATGAATTTATTTGGCAAACATTTAACATTTCATCGAAATGTCACTGGTCAGCTCTTAATCATATCCTGTTTTCTTTGTCTATTACTCTAAGCATTCTATCATTAACACAGCAGGTGTCGGTCTTACATCAAAACTTATTCGCTTTTCAGGAGGGAAATATGTCCCTAGAGCGATTCTCGTCGACTTGGAGCCCGGCACTATGGATTCTGTGCGTTCTGGAGTGTATGGACAGCTTTTCCGACCTGACAATTTCGTTTTCGGTGCGGATTTTGTTTTCTCTGAAATTATTTCGCCTCCTGTGAGGTCTTATTTTTTATTCAAATTATTTACAAGCCATCACATGTATCACCTTTTATTTATTTATACCATAAAATTGTTGTAAGTCGCTAAAGCTTAAATGCGAAGAAAAATGCGTTGTCGTACTGGAAGAGATGAAAATTATTTTTTTTTTATATTTCTAAGTGACGCTGTAAGTCAAAATATAAATTCTCACTACGATCGCTGTATTTTTCTTTGGATGTTATTTTGGAGAATTTTCAATCACGTTGGGTAAATAATTCAAGTGATACATTTAAAGACTTTAAGTTTTTGTTGTAGACGAAATAAGCGAAAGTTTTTTGGTTGGGGGCAAAATCGTCCATGAAAGTTTTATTACTTGATGAGGAAAAATGAATTTCAAAAAAGCTTAAATGATGGCCACAAAGTCTAGTGGAGAAAATTTCATTTCTAATTGTTTTTTTTTCTTCTGTTTTTTGTTCAGTTTTGATTTTGCCGTCGCTGCTAGTATTTGTCGTCCTCGCTAGCTGTTTTATTTATTTTTTAATTATTTAGAAGAGTTATTTAAAACTTGGTCCCATTCTTCCGTAGGTCAAAGTGGCGCGGGAAACAACTGGGCCAAGGGTCATTACACAGAGGGAGCCGAGCTAGTGGAATCAGTTTTGGACGTGGTCCGTAAGGAGACTGAAAGCTGCGACTGCCTTCAGGGCTTTCAGCTGACTCACTCACTAGGAGGGGGAACTGGGTCGGGCATGGGTACATTGCTCATATCTAAGATCCGCGAGGAGTACCCGGACAGGATCATGAACTCGTTCAGCGTTGTACCCTCTCCAAAGGTACGCGTAGGAAGTGTATTATTTTCGCGCACGCCATTTTTTTTCCCTTCCATTTTTTTTCTCATCCCACTGATTGAAAACCTTGATCAGAATGCTAAATACTTGAGTGGCTGGACTTCTACCCTTGTTTGTGCTCAGTGACCATTATATTTGGTCGGGCGGTTGTCTCTATATGCGCAAGATCGACGTAACACCATCAACAACCGATGAAATGGTAAAAAAAAAAAAAAAACCAAACGAAAGCGTAACCACCGGTCAAAATTTAATAGTAACAGGGTGCCCTTCCATGATCGACAACCTTATACAAAACTTCTTTAGATGAACTATAAAGACAACTGGAAAACTAGATTAATTTTGTTGAATGTGAACATTCAAGACAGCTCCTTGTTTTTAGTTCTTCCAAACGCCATAGTCTCAGTGCCCCAAAGTCGTGCCACATCACGCCTCTACTTCACGAATTACATTGGCTGCCTGTTTGTTATCGTATCGAATATAAAATAATTCTTCTTACATTTAAGGTATTGCATGGTATGGCGCCCGATTACTTGCGCCATTTAATATCTATCTTGCCGCCATCTAGGTATAATTTAAGGCGCAACGATGACTCTGCAGCTTTATTAACTTTCCCGAAGATAATATTGGCAGATAGATCGTTTAGTTGTGCCGCCCCTAGACAAACAATAAGATCTATTTCCAGTTTAGATATTTTTAAAATTAGACTTAAAACTTTTTTATTTAATAGGGCGTTTAATTAGTTCTATAGTTTTTATAATTGAATTGCATTATTTTAGAATTGTAACTATTTTAATTTCAAAGTTGAATATTTTTATAGAAACTGCGCGGTATAAATTTAAATTTAATAATAATAATAATAATTTGAACCAAAGTTTATAGAGATACAGCTAACAACAAAGGCTACAGCGATTCCTAATCTATGATCACAGATATCTTGGACGTGTTGAACTGAAGACATGACCTTTTAGCATGTCGATCTATCACAGTTTTCTCTCGCAGATCACGAACAAACCTGTGCGCAGGGGCTTAAGGGCACGAGATAGTGGTACGCCTCCAGCTTTGTCTTATCTTTACTTCCCTGTAAATGGAATCCTGGCGGCAGCCTCGGCGGGGATTCCTTTGATTTCACACCTTTGAGCTCCCAGTGATTTTATATTCCCGATCTCTCTGTGATTTCATACTCCTGGGATTCTCTGTTTTAGTTTTTTCTTTAACACTCTTGGGCTTCCTGTGATCTTACGCTAATGACCCCCCCTGCGACTTCACACCATGTTATTTTTCATTCCTACGCTCTAGTAATCTCAACCTCTTTTATCAGAATTTCATATCTTATCGTTTTCCCTTTACAGGTTTCGGACACAGTCGTGGAGCCTTATAACGCTACACTGTCAGTGCATCAACTCGTTGAAAACACCGATGAAACTTACTGTATCGATAACGAGGCCCTGTATGACATCTGCTTTCGAACCCTCCGACTTGCCAATCCTACATACGGGGATTTGAACCATCTGGTGTCAGCAACAATGAGCGGTGTAACAACGTGTCTGCGGTTTCCTGGACAGGTTGGTCAGCGTCACAGATCCGAGTATTTTGTTTTAATGTTTCAAATGTTGATGGAGAAAGATGTAACAGGAAACTTCTTGTACATTTTCGAATCTGACAGTGTTAAAGCAAAGAGATTAAGTTCTTTTGTCCAATCTATGAATGCAAATTGGTAGATTACAAAATAATCTACGGAATTTTATATGTTTCTGCTTCGCCAATTCTTCCTTTAAATTTTAAGTTTTGCTTCCGTGGTCATCTTATTCGGCGCTTGTACTCCACTGAAGCATTCCCGCACCACGGATAATACGTAAAGAAAATTGTAAGCCTGGGACAAGGGAAAAAAAATCTGAGCCTCCCCTTCCATCCCGACAGAAATCGAACCCCGGAAATTGACCAATGTGTCCTGATGCTCTACCAGTGAGCGACAGAGTTTTCGATGGTGAGCTACATCAGATACTAGTAGCATTATTTCAAGTGGGCCAGTTTGCAGGGTTCCACTCTCTTGGCTTGAGCTTCTCTTGATATGGAGTAATTCAAGTTTTCCGCAATGCATATCACCGATTAATCATTCAAGTTTTAAGTAAGTAAAATTTCTAACCTTGCGCTCATTTTAGTTGAATGCTGACCTGAGAAAGCTGGCGGTCAACATGGTCCCATTCCCCCGCCTTCATTTCTTCATGCCAGGGTTTGCACCGCTGACCAGTCGCGGTTCACAGCAGTACCGTGCCCTTACTGTACCGGAACTGACCCAGCAGATGTTTGATAGCAAGAACATGATGGCTGCTTGTGATCCCAGGCATGGCCGTTATCTCACCGTAGCAGCAGTGTTCCGAGGCAAGATGTCCATGAAGGAAGTGGATGAACAAATGTTGAACGTCCAGAACAAGAACAGGTTTGTGGTGGAGAGCCATTGTTATCGAGAAATAGCTATGCTATTCCTTTTATTTTCTCTCGTATTTTTATGAACACGTGTAAACAACATTGTACATTAAGGAACAGTCATTATGTTCATCGCATTTTTTTTTCCTTTTTTTTTGGAGGAGGGGGGGTCGGAGGATTTTTTACGTCACGATAAAACTTAATTGATTCCCTAATAAGGCTTTGTAACCTCGTTACTATCCCCCCTCATCGGCAGTTAATTTAACCCCCCCCCCCCGTCCCCCCGTTTATACTCTGTTGGCGACTACTGATCCTACCTACTGATACCTTTTGTTCTCCCTGAAAACCATGTGATCTCCCCAAAAATTCACTGAACATCCCCCCACCCCCACGATGGTAACTGGTCCCCAGTTCATTCTCACAGTGCCTCTCTCCACCCCCGTGGGTACAGATGAAGAGTCAGGGGAACTTAAAGACTTTCTAGGGGCGGGGTTAAAAGAGATAGGGACTGCCTAAAAAGATTAGAATTTCGTTCGGGCTGATAAGATATACCTCAAGACACTTCGTACAATTGAAGCTTTGGGATAAGCTCCGGCAGATATGACTCAACTCTCCTTTGATCCAATTTGGGAGTATCTGATGGAAGATATATTTTTTTTTTCTTGGTATCTTTCTTCCTAGTTCATACTTTGTTGAGTGGATTCCGAACAACGTCAAGACTGCTGTTTGTGATGTTCCTCCTCGCGGGCTCAAGATGTCCTCCACGTTCATTGGCAACAGTACTGCGATCCAGGAGCTGTTTAAAAGAATCGGAGAACAGTTCACTGCTATGTTCAGGCGCAAAGCTTTCTTGCATTGGTACACAGGAGAAGGGATGGACGAGATGGAATTTACTGAGGTAAGAGGGAGGGGAGTGAAGTGGGGTTTGAGGCTTAGAATTTCTTCCAGTATACCTCTACGGTTTGGTTTCTTTGTGAAGAATATTAAGATTTCACGAGTGGGCCGCTGCCATAAATGTAAATAGTGTGTAATTAATCCGGAATTGAAAGGATGTTCTTTACTTTACTCTGTGATTGGTAACGGAATCTCGAACCTCGTGGTTAATTATGGTAGAGCACTTGACGTATTTTACGAACCAGTGAAAATAATGGTGTATCTGAAGTTAATCCTGTTTAAGTATATCAAAGAAAAAAATACAAAACAAACAAGAACAAATTTTCGGCATCGTCATCGTCATCGTCATCGTCATCGTCATCGTCATCGTCATTTCTTTGTACGGCATGGATGAGATTTATGCCATTTAATTTATAAAAGCACATAACTGGCATCGAGAAGTGATTTCCTTGAAATGTAGTTGTCTTTCAAATATAAGCTAAGGTCAGACACATGATTTAAATATTAAAAATGCCACCGGAAGTGACTGTGTGCAGATGTGGCAGCCGTGATCGTATAGTGGTTAGTACATTGCGTTGTGGCCGCAATAACCCAGGTTCGAATCCTGGTCACGGCATTCTCCGAATTTTTTTTCCTATCTCCTGGTTTTTTTCTTTCTTTTGTTTTATTTTCTGTTTATCTTTTGGAATTGGTCTGTACAATTTACGTTTGTTACTTACAATCTGTTTTGCTATTCGCTTTTATCATCCCGAATCGTTCCTTTTGGTTTGCTCTTTATTTACTCTTTCTTTTTGTGTGTCCTAGTCATAGAAACTATTATTTTAAGATTTCCCTCTGATTAAAGGGTTCCCTATGACGATGAATGACTCAAAATACGAAAATATACCCATCTAACCTGACAAACCTCCTCTCAATTTTTAGGCCGAGTCCAACATGAATGACCTTGTGTCTGAGTACCAGCAGTACCAGGACGCCACGGCCGAGGAGGAAGGAGAATACGACGAGGACGAAGGCGACGACGAAGAGGAAGCCGAGTAAATATCGACTCCACATCGATTTGAGTAACGCTGACATGCAAAAACTTCTTTAAGATTTAAGCGGAAGAAATCTCTTTATAGCGCTTGCGAGTTCTGTTTGCTCGCACTCTAGCCTGTTTGTACACTGGCCTACATGTAGTCGTACCCTCCCCTCCAAGAAGAACGTTTCTCCTTAGGGGGGGGGGTGCGGCTACACGTAGGCTAGTAGTATTCTTGATCTCACTTTTTTGACCCTTTAACTCCCATCAGTGACCGGTGACCGCGACAGAAATTCTCCTTAAAATATCAATACAGTATCAAGCAGACAAGTTAGTGAAAATAAAGAAAAATATCAGTTAGGGGATAATGAGTTGATCCAATACCAAATTCTCCATACTAAAATCACGAGAGCTGTATGAAAAAAAGTAAGGAGAATTACTGATGAGATCTTGGGAGTTAAAGGGTAAATGCCTCAATCAGTCTTTGATAAAAAGATTGTCTATTGGTATTGTTTTTATTGAGGTTGTTGTTGCTAACAATTCCCTAACTTAAACTTAACTTTAAAGCCCTAATTTTAATTGACAAAATGACAAATGGTGTCTTAAAGATTTGTAGAATCAGTGCTCAGCTCTAACAATTGATTTTTTAAATTTCTTAATTAAGATGGGAATCGTCTAATAAAATAGAAGAGACACTAATTAGGAATTTCGATACGGGAAGTAAATCTTCAATTTAGATCAACAAGCTAGGGTCTGAATTTATCAGAACTGACACGAATATGACTATGATCATGATTATTTTTTGTGAGATTTAAATTATCTCTTTGATCGAAAATAGCTTTCTCTTGACTTCTTGAAGAAAACAAGATTAAAGGAATCAAAGTTTTAAGCATCAGGAAGGTTTGTCTGAAGTCCATGTGTGCATTAAATTCGTCACGCCACGCCACGATCAATGCCAATTTTTTTGTCCCAACAGTGAGGCGAAATGAAACAATTTTGGATTAAACCTAATACACAATTCCCTCTTAAGTACCAGTTTGTTCCCTATAATCCTATGAAACAAGCTTTTTTGGTTTTGCACGAGCCACTGCCTTTTCTCGTTTTGCACGTACCACTGCCTTTCAAGTTTTCTTTTGCACGTGCTGAATTATGCAAATTAAAAACTGTGCGGTGTGAACAGCGCGCAGTTTGGTGCTAAAACGGAGAATCTTCAGTGATAAATTATTTGGGCTACTCAAAGTTAATGAAACCGGAGATTTCATACAGATGTAAGTACAAACTATTTTTTTTCTCACTGACATCCCCAGCGCCCCGGTGTGGTCGCTCATCCATTCGCACAATAGCAGTTTCAGACGTAAACAAGTTACCTTTATTTTAAAATTCGATTTTATTCACATACCAAAACCGTACACAATATATTTTTATAAACTCCGGAGGACGTGTATGGGTAAAAATTACAAATTTTTGTAATTACACCCATTTATTTGACAGGTTGGAAAGTTTAAAAAATCTTTCCAGCTGGAGCTTTGTAAAGAGAAATTACCTCAGTTTTCCATTTAAAGATCGTCCTGAAAAAGCCTAAATAGTAGTTCATCTAATGTTAAATTACCTTTCTACATTAAGGTCGCTCATTTTGAACGATCCTCCTTGCACTTAAGATCGACTCTACATTTTTAAATACATTCGAGTTTATTCAGGCTTACAGTATATTAATTTACACTTCGTGGAATCGTTACTCGTAAACCAAGGTACATTTCGAAACTATTGTTTATATCTATGAAATTCACCAAAATCTTTAAGTATTCTTCCCTTTCGTCAACTTGATCCTTATTCGTAAATAATATTTAAAAATTGAAAAGCGGTCGTTTGTCGAACTTTCTCTTAACAAGTAGAGTTTATTAACGTACGTCTGGCTGAGATAAGCCCTTTGTAACACACTGACAACAAAGCAATCACGCGTGCCGCTGCAATCCAACATTACAAAGTACCTATATGGCTGCTATGCGATAAAACGAGGTTTATTTTCAACTGGAAAAAGCCATTTATCTCCAAGACTGATGCGAGTAAAACAATTTTTCAATATTTCTGTTTTCAGGTAAATCTTTCGCCCCGGGATTTTGCAAATTTCTTTTTTGGCGGTACCAAAATGTCTTTTGTTGCAAGTAAATGGCCAACATTGTATTCTGCTGACTTTGAAGAGTCTGAAATCATTAACGCATGAACTACCAAACAAACGGAGTTCTCTGACTTGTCAATAAACGTTCTCTCTATAGGGAAAAATTATAATATTACTTTCACATAAATGTTAAAAATATACTTCTGTTTGAAATGTATAAATACCGTAATAAGGCTAACAAAGAAATATAAAATAACTTAGCTCTTTGATAATGAAAATATCTCTAGAAAATTATGACAATGCTGGCATTCTTTTTGTGTGATCTTGTCGATACTTAGGTGAGAGATATGAAACTAGTTTCCATTGGGAATAGTAACTACGCCGGCCAAATGTTTTTCCTAACCAAACGATGGTGGATCCAAGTTAAAACATACTATAAAATACACGCTTATATCATTATACAATACAAAATGTCTTGATGACGTCAACAGTTTCACACTTGAGTGGTCCGTTTATCGAATGACGTCACCATCATGATACTTGACTTGCAGTCTGTAATTCGCTTCTGGAGGTTATTGTTTTCCACTTCTAACGCATCTATAAAACGTGGATCCTCCCAATTGAGTTCTTTCTCGGCTCTCACTGCAAGACAACGAAACATTGAAGTTGTAACCACAGTACACAAGTATGTACCAATAAAAGTTGAACGACAAAGTTTGGTTTTCCAAACTTAACTGCTAAATTTAAGCAATTCCAGCGAAAGACGAGTTATTGAGCTTAGGTTAAGAAATAATCTTCTCTTCTTCGTTACAATACATGAAATGATTCAGTTTCATCGTGATTTTGTTAAGCAAGACCATAGCTAACTAACAGATATCTAGAAAATTTTTGGTTATACCGTACATTGATTGCTAAAGAAAACTTGCGCCACTCTTGAAACCAATCAAATGCAAAGCTTAAATCAAACGTAATGTGGTCACCCGCGTTTTCCCGCGCTTTAAGTAGCTTGCCTATTTTTACTTTGTTTCCTTATTGGTCAATGGTGACCTTTCTTCCGATTGGCCATTGTAATAACTTTGGCGAAGGTTTACCTTCACGTGATAGAAAACAATCCACCTATATTCAGTTTCCGGGCTACAGCAGCTTTCGTTATCAAATTTGCTTTGCTAACGGAGTCAGTGTCAGTGTATAATCGGTGGCGTGTCCTTGAGCTATAAGTTGCAAATAGGAGTTAGCCCCTTATTTTTCAATTTAGAGGGAAAACTTACGTCCAAAGCTCCATCTCTGGTGTTCATCGAGCAATCGATTCTTGGCCGCTGAGAATTCTTCCTTCAAATGTCGCTGTCTCTGTCTCAGGGATGCAATGCGGGTTTTTCTCTGTTCAGAATCTTTCCACTAATGAACAAAAGGAAACGTTATTGGATAAGTATATAAGAGAAAGCCGACCCGACAGACCAGAAGTAAACGAACGAATGGTAACGAACACACGAGCAAACAAACGAACAGACATGAACGCAAAAAAAAAAACGAACCAACAAACACGAACGCACGAACAAACGAACGAACAGACACGAACGCACAAGCGAACGAACCAACGGTCACGAACGCACGAACGAACGAACGAACGAACTTTGGTACGAAGGAGTGAGCAACTGATAACGACAGAATCATATAACTAACAAATTAAGTCGAAGAAACGGAAGTAATAAATAGTTTATACCTGAAAGTTAGGTTCCATAGCTTGTTGTAATTTTTCGATGTCATCGACTTCGTAAACCTTGATCTGAACCGGCTCCAATGACTTCCTCGAAAACCAACGCCTAGGAGAATATTTTCGTGCACTGGATCCTGGGGAAGCAGAACGACTTCTACCTAAATAATGGTGATAAAAATAATATAATGTTAACAATATTAATAAGGTCTATGACGATTTTCCTGCTAGCAATTTAAGGTGCGGAGGTGTACGGAATTACAGAGCAGTTTTCTTAGAGGGATTAAACCTTTCCGAAACTTTGTCAGGTCAAGCTAAACAAATATTTTCAAACGGCGTATCCAAAAAAAAATCCACGTTGTTATTGGTTCTGTTCAGCTTTGTTCTACTATTGGTCGAGAAAATTGGTACCACCCCTCAGTTTACCAATCAGAAGTAAATCTAAAGCCAATCAAAACTTGTTTATTCGCGTTTTCTAGCGCTTTAGGAAGTTTGCTTGTATTTGCTTCAATCTTACATGGATTTTGACAATCAGCTTTGCCCTAATTTGCGGATGTGAAAACTCTTTATTCCGATTTCACGACAGTCAGTCGGCATGAAGATCCCTCAAGTGGATTCGATACCCAATAAATACCTATCAGAAATTAATGAGAGAGCTCCCAACCAAGTTTGAAAATATAAAAACATCTTATTTCGTACCGTTGCTTAGCAACCTTTGACACTATACCGCGACTTCTCACCTTTTCGTTTCCCACGACTCAGACCTTTTTCACTGCAACTGTCACTTGAGGCGTGACTTGCATCGTTGCGCATGCTCTCGTAGCCACTGCTGCTGGCTGCATCGGATCGAGAAGATACTGAAGGAATAAGGAAAAAAGAGAACGAAAAAATAAGTTTCCTTTTCTCTTTTATTTCAATTCGATTAAAACGCAAAGCAATTTGTGTGAAGTAGAAATTATTGTGTATAGACTGTTACAAAACCAATTTTACGACAAAAACTTCATTTTAAGAGCAAAACTTGCCAATTGATCGAGGTTCATGTAAGGATTGATATGCTTTTCATAATTTTAAGTCCTTTACACTTACACGACTTGAGTCTCTTCAGCGACCGACTTCGTCCGCGAGGTCCTGGGGAATCTCCAATGCTACTGTCGCTAGCGTGACCGCTGCTGTAGCTACTGCGGTCTCGTCTGAAAGAAAATATGGCAACCATTAGAAGTTAATTAATGATTAATAAACTAAATGTTTCAAAAATACAGAAAGTCAATTGTTAGTTGCTCATAATAAAACGATTGACAGTTGCCTTATCGCCAACTTTTGAGAGAAGAGACCAATAGGTAATTTCTCCCCACACTTTTAATACATTTTCAAGAAGAAAGTGTTGAAAACAAAGAAAAATATCAACCAAGAGATATTATTGCTTGATGTAATAACAGATTCTCAGAGCTAAAATTATAGGGAATGTATGGTGGATAGTGTGGGTAATTGACAAATAGATCTTAGAGGTGAGAGGGTTGACAAGGACACCATGAAACAATTAATGACTGATGAAAATGCACGGCAATGCTACCGTACTGTTTCACTCCGCTTTGTGATTTTCCGTCTCGGTCGTTTGTTTTTCTTTATTTTTGGAAAACTTGCGTCAATTTCTCAACCAATCAGACTCAAAACCAAAATTTGGCGCAAGTTGGCCAAGCATGATTTTGCGCGTTTTTCCTCCACCTTTTGTTTTTGAAGCTTGCCTTAATGCCTTTCCTTAGTTCCTTGCCTAAAGGCCACGCTATATAATTCCTAGTTATTGGTTCTCACCCGAAAAATTTAAACCTCCTTGTCTTTTCGTTCCTCGATCCTACTGCAACAGGTGTTGAGGGCGCTGGCATTTCGTCTGCTGTCAGATCTCCAGTTGATACCACGGGCTCATTGGCTACCCAAACCACGTCTGTGCTTTCTGTTCTAATGCTGTTATTACCATCCTCCGTGCTAGATGACATCAGCGCCAGAGTTGATGCGTTTTGTGTTTCTGCACTCGTTGTAAACGTGGCCACAAATTCTCCAGATAAGCGGTATTGACGGTTCGCTCCAACCTGAGTGCCGTCTGCACTAGGACGCGGTTGGGACGCGGTTGCATCGCAGCCAGGTATTGTCGCCACGAACTCACCAGATAATCGGTAAACGATACGCGGTGGTGCGCAGCGGTCGTGAAAACGCGCGATGAATTGTTCCTGTGGCGCATAAGGTGTCTCGGGCTGAAGTGGAATGCACTGTATGATCGGTCGTTCAACAGTTATTGAAATGGTGTTATTAGGCTTGGGAACCAAAATATTAGAAGACTGTTTGTCTTTGGTGGAGGGCTCATCAGGTTTCTCAAATTCTGCGTCTGACATCTCCGAGCCACAATATGTGAGTTTTACAAAACTTGATACAGAGCTGATAGAGGTTCTGTCGCTTCTTCTGGTTGGACTGTTTCCTGCTCTGACAAAGTGTTCAACTCTGCCGCTATCTTTCCGGGAGATTCTCTCTGAGAAGGAAGAAGTAAAAATATCCGAGTTCTCCATATCGCAATTCTCTATAACGCAAGGCTGTTCGAGATTTCTGGTTTTGTGGAAATTGTTATTTTCGTCCTCGCTTCCAAGAAAAGTAACGCTTGTTTTCACATTACCAACAGAGAATGATGAAAGCCTCTGGTTTGCCGGATCAAAATGTGATCTAGCGGCGCTCCGACTCGGCGTGCACCACGGCTCTGTCTTAGCCGTCATCGAACTGTCACTCGACTCGTCCTCATCCTTCGCTCTGCAGCGATAAGGTGCGTAGTCGCTGTCATAATCTTTTTCGCCCTTATACCGCAACTTGGGACTAGAAATAAGTCTCGCAGTTTCAGTGCACATGCGTTTCTGCGGAACAAGAGGAGGCAGAAGCATATCGTTACCCGAAGTATCGCACGAAGCCAGCGGAATGATACGTCGGTTTGGCTTCGGGCGCGGTCGGCGATACTCGGGATGCTGAGGGGCTGGGCGAGCGTAGCGCGAAGAGAATTTTTCCCCTTCGCATTCTCTTAGTTGTTCGGCGACGAATTTTTGAAGAAGCGAGCGAAGGTCCCCTTTGGTAGTTGTATTCGTGATGTCTTTCATAGGAATGTTCTCTTTGTCTCCTTCCACACGAATAGTTGTGTTCCCATCGTCGATTTCAACACTGACGATGCTGTAACTGCAACTGGCTCGGTTTTTCCCAAAATTCGCCGAAGCCTGATTCAGATTGGACTCAACCGACGGAAATTCTGGTATCGGAGAAAGTGTTTTACTTTTAAAAGACTTCGACACTTGAATATCCTCGAGTTCATCCTCGGTGGAGGACGACTGGGGTGAAGGAACGAGGCGGTAGAACATTTTCATCGGTGTTCCGAACGTGTAACTGCGTGTTGCATCTGTATCGGACTCCGCCGAACTTTCGTCCGAACTCGGCCGATGGGTCTGTTTTTGCGGCACGACTTTCTCGACCACAGGCTCAGTGCATCCTTCGTCTATATCCTGCAAGCTTTCTTCGAGCTCTGGGAAAAGAACATCATTTTCACTTCCAGTGAAGTTTCTTTCTAAATGTGAATCAACGTCGATATCATATTCTTCCTCTTCGCAAAACGCCTCAGCTATGATCGCATCGTCGGCGAGTTGTTTTCCCCAATCGAGTTCGGTGTCGTCGTAGGAGAAATCGTCGGAGCTCGCCTCTCGGGTCTCCTCAAGGACGTAACACAGGTCGGGCGTGTCCGAAACCGGTGAGTGAGGTTGACAGTTTTCAATAAGTTCTGCAGTTGTGTCGCCACTTGCTTGATTAGCCTTACCCTCGAAATGATGCAAAACTTCGTCATCACAGACATCTCGTTCAAAATCGAGCGAAGTCGTGGAGACGTTTGCAGTGTTAAAATGATGGTGTGTGATGCCATCTTGCCTGGACATTTCGTAGTCATACAAATCCTGCTCAGCATCGAGCGACTCCATCGATTTCGATTGGATTTCGTTCACAGCTTCGCATGTTAAGAAGGAGAACGATGGCGCTTTGGCCATAACGATACTCTCCGCGTCCGAAGACTCACTTGATGTCTCCGGACTCATAACCCGCGTTCTCAGCTTAGCATCCTCGCCTGGAAAGCTTTGCACCGGAATGACAACAGTGCTGTTACGAGAATTCATACTTTCATCAATGTCTAAGTTGGGACTCAATCCAGATGGAATGATCAGTGTGTTGACGGCTGTGGCTGTTATCGCAGATATTTCCTTGACAACAGGGTTCTTAAAAGTGTCGCTTTCTTGCCTCTTGCTCCTTTTCACGGAGCCTTTGTGCGATGAATCCGAAAGACTGGAAGAACTTCCTTTTTTTTCTAAAAGTCTCTTGCGGCTCGATGCCCGGCTTTCGGGTATGACCTCGATTTCTGTTTCGTAACACGATTCCTCGGTGTATTCCTCGCTAAATTCCCTTCCTTCTCCTTCTTCTCGTTCAGAAAAGATTTCTTCCTTTCCTCTGTCCTCGTAAAGACTACTGCTATCCTCGCTGCCTTCGATCTCACGTTTCAACCCGACGTCTTCGTCGTTATCCTCCGCTTCTCCGTTCTCGATCGCTTCGAGTTTCCGCACTAGGGACCTTGTGCTGCTGGACACACTTGATTTCCTAATTGGGAGCCTTGTCGGTGGGCCTTCGTTGTCTGTGAGGTCCCGGTCACTTATGGCTCCGTCGGGACCCACGTAAATTACAGTATCACACGACTCTTCGCCTGTGCTCGAATTGTAGTCGGAACTACCCGGCTCGCCGATCGGGCAATCTTCACGGAGTTTCTCGTTTAAAGCTGTGGTCCGAAGCCTCGGTTCGGCTGTCCGAAGTCTTGGTTTACGGATTCGGGCTTCGTCGCAAGAACTTTCTCCGCCGGATGAGCTTGTACTCGATCCCTGAAAAAAAGAGCAAAATAAATCAAACTTGGAGAATCAAAACAACGGAACAGATAAAAGAAACAAACAAATAAACAAAGCTATTCAGATATCTTCTTTTCAGATTTTTGAGATAGTTTTTCGAGTGACATTGTTTCACATAACTATTAACTGTTACCCGATACCTAAAAATTAGAAATGAGTTACACGAAACAAAACAAAATATTGTCGATAAAACAATCTAGTTCATTCCTTTAAAGAATATTACACAAATTGGAGTTCATTGGAAAATTTTTAAAGTTCCTCGAGTATACCAGCTTTGATTAAATGTACACTTTGCTTTTATTGACATGGAAATCAGTTGACAGCGTGCGGCTTCCAGAATGTTCAAAAGTTCGAGTTCGGAAAAAAAAAAGAGAAGAACAGAAAGCTTTTATTTGATATGTTCTCTATTGTACTAAGTTTAGATCAAGTTTCACATAATCGTATAATTTTATTATTACTGTATGCTGCACATGTGATGAAACTTGTTATGTATTCTCCAACACGATATAACTTAGTTACTTATTGATGAGTCATGAATGATCAAAGAATGGGATAGATTTCGCTATCCTTGTTCAAAAATGTTATTTGCTGCATTGCAAGCAACTTTCGGCTTTTCTCAAAGCAATTTTATAAATTAGAATCGGTAGATCTTATCATATAAGAACAGGTATTAGCTTGAGTGTGTTTTTACATGTGACCTAAATGTATAACTAACAGTTATTGTTTTGAGGGAAGAAACTGTGTGTGCCGAGAAATGTTTTCTCCAACAAACGACAGCGTTAGATTATTGTGTAACTCATGCGGTTCTCGACGTGGCTACGAATTTCTTCAAAATTGAGACAGTTTATAGAAACAACAGGGCATAAGAACTCAAGCCGAGAATTAAGTGTTTTCTCGCCCCGGGGGTGAACTTAAGAAAGAAAACAACTTTGATGTAAATCTAATATTTAAGAAGGATTACATGAAAAAACTACAAAGGTCTTGAGACTTCATAAGTGTGCTGAAAATGCTGAACGGCTTCGTTTGAAACTCAATGTCAACCACGTTTAATTATTTTCCACGTTTTGCTTAATGGATGTATTGAATACTTGCTTCACAAAACGTTTTTAAATTTTCTCCACAGGACGTCTTGCACGCAAACTTAATGCATCTTTGAAGAATGTGTTGGCACTGAATTTCATTTCAAACTCTTAAAATGGATCGGCATTTGAATTTCTTTATCAAATTTTGTAATATTTCGCGACAACGGGCGAAAAAGGCATTTTTCTCCGTACCCGTTCATCAAGATTAGCAACAGTTTAATTCACATCGTGATCGCTGAGGTTTTAATCTGATATCTTATCAGCGAGTTAATAACCTTCGAGAGAAATCAAGTAATTTGCTGTCATTTGTCCTCTGTTCGGAATTGGCAAAATTTGGACGAGAATTTTCGGACAACTCAAGAAGAACAAAATCGCTAGTTTTCAAGAGATGCGTTTTGCGTTTATTCAAAAGCTTTACCAAAGTTTCCTTCTGTTCACGAAGAAACACTTGATAAGATAATCGCATTAGGAACAAAGGCATAATACGTTCCACGAATTTGCTACAGGTTGCCTAATTACAACCAATTTGAATTTAAAGTCGCTCCCATTTGATTTTGCAGATTAAAATCTTCAAGATTCCTTGAATAAGTTGTTTTAAGTATCTCTTTCTCCCGCTGGTTCGAAGACTTCAGTTTGATAAAAAAATGAATACAAGATTTAGTCAGCTTTGCAGTCGCTGTCCACGTTACTTCCTACCTAAGGAACTTAAACACTGTACTTTACATATGATATCTTAGGTTTGTCGTGATACACAAACAACGTTGTAAAAACGAACTCTCTTGATGCACAGACTTCAGTATAGGTCTAAATTGTACCAAAACAATCCACCACGGGAGAACAGAACATAAATAGAACATCTATGGGATTTCAAATTATGTTTGTGCCACAAAACCACATTTCGTGTAATGCAATAATGTTACAGTCATGTTAACACTTTTCTGAGCAGAAAATGGACAAATTTCATTTCATTTCACCAAAGGAAGGCGAGTAATGACCGCTGTTATTATCAGTTTCCCTAATATAGTAGGCAACGTGCACATTTTGGATTAAGGCGGCAAAATCTCTCTTCAGTGTGGCTTGAATAGTTACTTTAAGTAGCTTGATAGTGCTGAAGAAAATCTTGATTTTTTTGTCATGTTATTCAATTCTCACCAAAAATTTCTCTTACTTACCAAAAGTTGAAAGAAGCCCCTAAGAGTGTCACCAGAGTCGCGGTATGATAATCACGAGCGACTGAAAACGCGGGTGGATATCAATACCTTTCGCTTATCACAGCGTTTGCTAGCAAAATTTCTTTGAACCAATCACTTTAGCCGAAGGGAGGTATTTCACTTGAAAAGAACTTTTGAAGCATGGAGGAATTAATGAAAAGGACCCATAAGTAAGAAAGAGAGATAACCTGTCTTTTGTCTCCGTCATATTAAAGGCGAGATTAAGAAACCACAAAAACCAATAAATGTGAAAAAAACGACAAATATTTTTGTCAATTAAACACGACCTTTAGACAGAACTCAGTTGATTCTATCTAATCTCAAGCGTAATTTAATGGGATTAAAACATGTAAACAACTATGAAATAGATACAAATTTGAAACCACTCCTGTGTGCTTTTTCATTGGCAATGTAGCATAAGTTGACAGTTTTTAATTGAAGGATCGTAATCCAGTGATGTTTGGAAGTGATCATTAAAACTTCGGTCAATAATTGAATAGTCCGTGATACCTCGCTAACACACTCTACCTCCTACGAAATTAGATGTTTGGCCGCTATCGCTGAGGATATATTATGAAACGCTATGTTTGGTCGTTTTCGTTTCTTCTTTGGGCAGCACTCGGAAAGTTTATTTCAATTTTGCTACGTCGATCAGTTGAACAGAAATGATAATTTGAGAAGCCATAGTTACCTTTCCCTTTCGCTTTCGCAGACGGTGAAGCCTGGTGGCTAGTTGTACAGTGGCCAGGGTTTCAGCGTAAAATGGAAGCGAGGGTGACACATGCGCAATCATTGTCGTTCGACATGATGTGTTTCCGATAGACTCTTGGAGCATGCGTGTTATTTTGCTTGTCCTATAAGGAAAGACGAACGTAAGACATGAGTGACAAGACAGATATATCAAAAAATTCAAACGCTTAACGATTGCTTCTTTTTTATATAGAGTTAACTCTAACATGATAAAGTTATCAGCGAATACCCGACATTCTCCGGATCAAATTGCCTAAAATCGAGTGACCTACTCAATGTAAAGTAATAGGATCACTGCACCTGTGTGGCACGTGCTTGGCGCCATTTATGAGAGAAATGATGACGTTTCCCAGCCCCGACAGCGACATGCTGCTAGCACCTCCATCTTTTTTGGACCCAGTGTACCCTTCACAGCTGGCGAGATCGATCAAATGTAGCCGGGAGCGCCCTCCGTGAACTGGGAAGAGGAAGTATAGAACACAGTTGTCGGCGAAGGAACATTCACAGAAGAAACGAAAGTTTTTAAAGGTAGCATGTAAAAAGAAAAACTTTCTTGATGAATAGCTTAGTAAGTAAGAATCTTCAATTAGTAATAAGCCCGAAAAGACAAATTGAGGGCCAACAAAATAGAACTAAAAAATTGAACATACGATACTTTTAAGTATCGTGTGTTCAATTTTAAAAAAAAGCACTTCAGAGTGAGTATTAATGAGATAATCTCTCCACAACAAAGCTTGCAGAAACAGCTGTTTTATTTTAGCAAGATGGTCTAATAGTCCAGTATTGACCATAAGAACGGTCTGACAAGTCTCAAGCTGTCTTTGCCACTGACTGTATTACTAAAAATGGTAGCACAATACGCCGTATAAATATTTTTCATCAGTTGCAATGGTGATGTACGCACATAAGAAGGACCAGTTCGCATATTGAGCACTTACCTCCCCCAGCATTCTTAGAATTTTTCTCGACACGATACTGATAGATATGCACAGTGAAAAACATGTGAGAATTCAGGCTTTCTTCCCACTCTGTGTTTTCGCCTGAGAAAGAAGCAGAAGGTTGTGAGCAAAAATGGTAAAAATGTAAAAACGCTGGTCCCGGGTGAGGGCGTGGAGTGCAATTCTGGACTTCATAATATGTCTATCGTAAAGTTCACAGAAAACTGCGGCAAGTATTTCTTACCTTCAGCTTTGTTATTTACTGGTCTGGTTCTCGCGGCCAGAGCCGCATCCAGATAATAGGCTGCTTTTTCAGCAGAAGCTACTCGAAGCTCGGTAGGGTTAATTTCCTGTGAGGATGAGAAAAGAAAGACTTCTGTCAATGGAGCAAAAAATTGCATTCCCTCACAAACTCAAAGGAAATACAAAATAAATTTCTTAGGCGAGTGACCTTTAACTAATTGAAAATGTTTTTTTTTTTCTTCGGTTACTGAGATGATTTTGACGTGAATTCTATTCAAAGGCTTTCCTTTCTCGTTCGCTTAAACGCTGGCATTTCTCAGCATCATTTTAAGGACTGTGTTGAGGATAATTTGTAATTATTACCTGATCTCCACCATTGCGATCTTCACGAAGGAACACGCTGGGACTTGGGTCTACGGAGCCATTTTCTGGTCCTACGAGATAAGAGAATAATGAGGACGTGAGGGTCATCGTCATCGTTGTCATCATCATCATCACCATCATCATTATCATTATCATCGTCACTTTAATTGACGTCCACGCCGTCGGTATTACAATCAGCCCCGAATAAAGTCAATCTCTTATTGCTGTAAAGATTAAGCTTACATTACCTGATGCTTGTTCAGTGAGCAAATCCCGAACGGTTTCCGAGCGACCGACGATCTCCACTGCTGAGACACGAACAGAAAATCTCGTCCCAGTTCTACAAAACAAAGGAAGACAACAAAACTCACATGTTTTCATTGATAATCCTCCTTTCCATGCACTTGCTTTGCATTTCCTCGTGAATAAGCTTAGGCGAATTTAGTGTTATGTAAACATAACACGCTCTAGTTGAAGCATTTGATGCTCTCATAGCGAGGCTGCAGGATGATGAAGTGACATTACAAGGGGAGATTGTGAATGAATCGCTAATAGTAGCAAAGGGGTCAAACGCCGTTGATCCAAACTTTTCTGATTTAGTTATACTTTCTAGAAAAACCGCAACAGTGTCTTACTTTTGTTTCTGTTCGCTAATCAGTCTAAATAACCACGACAGAGCACAAGGGATCAGCCCCAAAGTTTGTTCTTTTTCGTCTCTACCAACCATGGTGTTAGTTTTACCTGCAAGAGAGAGCCAGAAAACGACACAATTAGCCCTGACAAAAGTGGCTTTAATTTCGTTTTGCTGATTACCGTAAAAGTTTACCAACCTAATCCAGCATGGCCGTACGAAAACAAACAGCCCTCAGAGCCACCAACGACTGCTTGAAGAACGTCTACCAAAGAACCTGAGCACACTTCAACCTGGAAACAAAAAATTCCATGATTTTGAGTCATTCAAAGAGGATTGTTTGTTACTACTTTAACTTTGTGATTAAACCCTTCTGAGTGACTATTTTAGAGAGAGATCCTGGGCCTCTCCATACTATTGGTTTTTTTGCTATGCCGTACGAGGGGATCTAATTTTAAGTCCGTGGTTGAAATCTTAGCGGATAACGATTTCATTGAATGCTACTGAGCAGTTCCTTTATATGGTACTTTTCATCACGTTGTGCGAGATAGTTCTAAATATCAGTCTGTGCATGGGAGGCCAGTGCTATTCAGTTGGAAGCTATTGAGCAGTGGCACTGTTTATGATGATGCACGAGGTGGTTCTAGCTTTTAAGTCTGTAGAGGAAACTCCAGCGTGTCGATTCAAATGAAAATTACGGAACAAATCTTGCGTGGTTAACTTCATCATGCTGTCCAAGTTCGGTCTAACTTGCATGTTGACGAATGAGTCGAGTGTATTGTGTAACAATCAAGAATGCCCCTCTCACCTGAGTGCAATCCGACTCAAATATCGAATCGAATGCAAACATCTTTGGCGCAGCCACACCCATCTTCCTATGTGTTTGTGACACGTGACCTACTGTGCTCGGATCATACAGTGTGACTTGTTTCCGTTTCTGATCCACCTTCATAAAGGACCCAGTCTCTCCGGGAAATGACGGGCAGATTCTTAACATCACTTTGACCTTCAGAGGAGAATTGGAGTTTGTGAGAAAGTTGACCAAACAAACACAGGTAGTGAGACTTGGTGTGAGATCTTACTTAAAGTCAGTCCAAATCACTTACGTAACGTAGCTTATCTTGCTTTCCTCAGTATGAAGCGAATAGAATATACCCCAACTTCCTGGGCTGGATGCTTGTCGATCCATCCCAGGTAACCCCAGAAATCCGCAAAGTTATCTAACTGCTACCAGTACCCGTCAATATTCTTGAATAGAGTGGGGCACGGCGAGAATAATGAGACTTTTCCAACAACATAATGCAAATGACTCGGCAAAAGCTCGACCCAGACCTCTTTTTTAGTTCTCTCTTATTAGTGAAACTATGACATCTACCTTTCCATCCGTCCTCTTTGTATGCATCTTAAGTAGGCCAGGTGGCACAGCCGGACTCGATATTCGAAGCACTTCCTTGTAGTTTGAAGGAAAAGGGTACGGTTGAACCTCCTTGTGCGCATGCCTTGACGGTGTCAGTTCGATCATTGGGGTGGGGTGGTATGGTAGCCCTTCTTGTTTGTGGCTGTGTCCCTTTTTGTGCTTCTTTTTAGAGGACAGTAACTTTTGAGCGGCTCTGAATTGATTATAAAATGTTCAGGTATATCAGAAATAATTGATAAGCAACTCCTTACAATTTCAATACTTTATCAAATAAAGAGTCGATAAGAATGAAGAAATTTATTAATTAGACGATTTTGTCGTGATAGATATTATGAGCTGAATTATACACGCAATTTGATTGGTTGTTATTTATGATCAATTGGAAGATAGACGTTAGATGACGTCACTTCTAAGATAAGTTTGCTTCTTTCTTATACAAAACAAATTAATTTCATGTGTGTTTGTACAGTGATAGATCACAGAGGATGTCAAAATATGGCAAGTAAGTAAATGACACACTCAGCTGCGCCGCGAGTGCCACTTTTTCGTCCTGACCACATTTTGACATCATCTGTGATTTATAGCAGAACAGCAACATGACGCGCAGCAACATGGAATCTATCATTGAGTAGCACCGCATTCATTTAAACTAACTTGCAGAATGGCTGGGAGGAGGAGATACAAAGTATAGTTGGCGAGAGTTAAAGGCTAAAGCTCTAAAGTACAAAATATTGAGCAGCCAAGCCTGCGCTTACAGACATTTTTTATCGGCGGACACTTACATTATCACGCTACATTTTCCCCTCTCGGCCAAAACCATACAAAACTTAAATGGCTTTATTGGACGTGCATGTCATCAGAAAATCTTGACTGTCATTTATCATTCAGTTTTTTTTTTCTTGAGAGACGTAGGTATCAAGAGGCGTCGATTGAATGAGATTAATTCGGAATGCCATTTGGAATAAAGTGCCGATGACCACATATACTGTGGGTGCGAGAAAAATCATAATAATTGGATTTGTTCTGTCAATAGATGACTGTGGAAAAAGCCGCAACGCGTATAAAGGGATCTGATCGTTTCCAATTCATTGGTCCATTATCTATTTCAGTTTAATTGATCCCTCGTGCAGGCTTGACTTTTGACAATCTTAAGATGCTAGAAAAGGAAAAGGTTAGAACTTCTTGACATGAAAGAAGCAGACAAACCAAAAGCATAGTAGATTTAAGATGTAGTAGATTAGCGCGGATTACAAATTTACAGTTACGGCAAATGAAATTTTTCGAGTTGAAAAAGTTAAGTTCTCAAAATTTTCCTTGCAAGAAAATTATTCACGAGGTTTCGAAGCTTAGTTGGTAGTCATTAAGAGGCACGGGGTCGAGGCTTGTCGAAGTCTGGGGTTTCTCAGGCGTCTTTTTCTGTAACTTCTTAATTTGCTGTTTTGTAAATTGTAGAATGCACCAGTAGATCAAGAAGTAAGTCACGTTATCTCTAGAACCCTAGATCTCTATGGGAATCCATTTAGGAAACAATGGAAAGTCGAAACTAGAACCGACAAATAGGCAGCCCTCGGATAGAAATTCGGAATTAATTACTAATCACAAAAATTAGATCCGCTGCTAAAACCATTTTTCATGATGAAAGTCATTTATCTCTCTTTTTAAGCTATTAAAGAACGAAACACCTTCAATACAGCCAAAAAACTACTATCAACCAATTGATCCTTAAGAGTGATTAGCATCTAATTTCTCCTTACAATATCACTCTTGAGTCACACATTGTCATGAGAATAAAGGCAATGATCATCAACAGAAGAGGCTCTTGATTGTTCAAGAAATTTTCCAAATCAGCACCTTAGGACATGCATATAGTGAAGTATGAAGAATATGCATGTTGTTGTTGTTAGGGTGTAAAGGGCTATCAAATATGCATTATAATGCACGCATTTCAACGTCAATCAATGCAACACTGGAGAGATTGAAGACTTAGTTAAACAGGAAAACGCAATGATTAGCTGAGGGAAACCCTTCACTACACCATAAAGGAATGGCATAAGAGTTGAAAAGAGTTTTGACATAGAGAATGTAAATATTTAGAAACGATTAAGCAAGATTAAAAACTGTGATATCCTTAAGAAATATGAACAAAGGTTTCGATTTCGCGCGTCAGAATTACTTGAACGTAATCAACACGGTGAATTTGGTAGATTGATGTGTCTCAGTTCCGTGTTTAGATAAAAAAGTAAAACTTGCGTTGTGTCTCAGTAACAATGTGGAAAAGCTATACATTTAATGACTGATAAGTTGGCAAAAATAAAGTCCAGTGTTCCTAAATATAGTAAATTTTGTAAAACAGTTTTGTTTTCTTCACACGCTATAGCCCTGAAGGTACACGGCGATGTTTTTCAAATTTTCAGGAGAATAAAGCGAGGGACACTTTTTTTAATTCTTGACGAGAAACAAGGTTTGAATGGGACAGGTTACTCAGATATTTTCTTCAAAAACTTTAGACAAGTTGCTTAACACCATGCACCAACAGATGTGCCGCAAAAGGCAAGAGTCGAAGTTTTGAATAAATCAAACTAGTTCAAGGTTGGATAGAAACTCTGAAGATGCCTCTCAAACGACGCATGTAACATGGAGTAAATAAAACATACGAAATAACACTGAAATCAACATATTGATACGACCTACTTTTAAAAAATAGACGCCACTCGCGTGCAAGCACGTGATGACCGGGCATGCAATACCGAAACTTATCAAACCCTCTCATAAAATATACAAAGTAAGCTACCTGAGTCTTCCTAGGACCAATTCTTGTTTCGACGTTAATGCCTTAGAGGTAGATAAACAGGTTAAACTCAAAGGAAATATTTCTGCCAAGTTGTGCCCTTGCTTACTTCGTACTACGTTCATTTCGGCAACGTCGAAGCGAAAGAACGCTGGCTAAAGAATTTGGAGTGCAGTGAGGATTTGGTATTCTGCTTCCTGTGAGGCTGCCAGAGGACGGATGCAATAAAATTCACTGACAATTTGTTTACTTAACAATGTAAAGAAGCCATGACCAAAACACAACACAGGCGGGTTTTGGAGGCGGGACATGCCGATCCTCGTTGACTTTGAGAGGAATGTCAACTGACAGTTTATATACAACAGAGGACACTTTAGGTAGAGTGCATTCCTTCAATTTTTGAAGTGAATGGCTTTCAGACAAACTTGTTCAGCTTAGTATTTTCCAGCCCGGGGAAGTGCAACCGTATCGCCAAAAAAAAAATTGGTGAGCTTAAGATTTTCGTGTCAAAACGTTTCAGATTCCTTTAGGCGAGACGCGATAAGTACAGTGACTTCTCTCCTGCCGCACTCGATGAAAGAGTCACTAAAGTGTGAAAAGCGTTTGGTGTTTTTCCGGAAGCATGTTTATCAAAATAAATTCTTTCAACTACACACATGATGTGTGCAAACCATTATTTCTGTTAAATAGTCTCTTTTGTTTAGTTCTGCTTTAATTAGAGTTTCCTACTTCCTCTGTAAACATAAATTTTTAGCCAGATAACCCTTTCTAGAATCTGGAATCTTGAATAAGACACTTTGACGAAGGCGCTTTCAAGAAAACGCAGTAGTACAATAACATGGCTTTGTTAAAACACTCTTTGAGCCACAGTATTAAAAATGCTACACTTAACTATCACAGACAGTTTTCCTTTATCAAGTTTGTTAATACGAGCTAAATCGCGTGATTTTATAATTATCGTTACTCAAAGGATAAGTGTGGTTGATAAAACTATTTACAAACTTAACCAGAAAAATTCTTTGAAATGCTTTACGACAATTCATTTCCGCTTAAACAGATCAAAATTTTGACAGGTCCTTCATCAACAAAGAGCTTTTAAAATCTTTACGAGTGAGATTACAGATTGACAAAAGGTAGTGTCTAATTTATTTGAACAAGAGACAATATCTGATTGATGGACTTAAGCACTTGGTTTTAAAAAGTTTGAATTTGAACAACATATGAGAAAGTCTCTTTCAAAGGCTGAGGCACGTGCATAGCAGTTTCATAGGATAAATTTCGATTATCATAAATAACTAAAGATCACTGGTTTCTTTCTGTGGTTGAAAGAAAATGGCACTTTGGAATATTTACGGGATATTTCTGAACTTTAACGTTTCAGGTTAATACGTGTCTTATTCAAAATTGCCATTCCAGGTGATTTGAGTTGGATTTCATTAACTTAAAATCAAAGTAATAGGTAAGGCCAATCAGAGCAGAGAAAAATTTGAATGAGCCAATGGGAACGTACATAACTCGACGTAACAGGCGCGGGAAGACGCATGTAACACAGCGGTCATACGTCTGCGCATGTACAAATGTCGTTATGGCGAGGTGGAGTATTTTCTTTCAGAACCAAGTTGTTGTATAAGAGTTATGGATGGTAAATTCACAGGATACCCGTAATTTAATAAGCTTTGTGCTCGAAGAGTCTCGATTTTTCTTTTTCCCTTAATTTTTTTCCCTCTGCTCAAATTTATAAACGTTTCAACTTTACTGCGCACATTTTGCGTGACAGTGTTAATACCTTTTAGTTTTCCTTACAAAATTTGCGCGGGAAATTAGCGCGCGGCCGGCCAAATTCCCTTGTACATGCCCGACGTGTGACCGCTGTATTGACGCAAGTGACCAAATCACTCCTCGTTCTAGCTTTTCGTCTCATTGTTTAAGAAGATGACGCGGATTTTTTTCTTTTAAGCAAATGGTAGAGCTTGTTAAAGTAAAACTAAAGAAATTCCGGAATGCTTTCGGAAATTAAATTAATTAAAAATTCACATCACGTGGTCTGTGCTGCATGATTAAAAAAGTCACAACCCACCTTGACAAAAACGAAGAACTAATGGCTGCTTCTTCCGGCTTCACGTACATTACGCCACCTCGATCGTTTGTTTCCATGGCGACCCCAGCTTGAAGGCGCTGCTTGTCCGCCCGCCTTATGAGCTGGTCAGCGTTCGGTCCCACCATGTATCCGGGAATGTTATAATAAGCGAGAAACTGAGATTCCTCCAGAGTGTGTACCATGGCGACTGCTTCTCGTTTCAGTTGGTTCAAGTCTGTGGCGCAAACTTCACACTGGTCGTTTTTCCATGATTTCATCTGAGTCTCCGGAATTCGGATCTGGTCGAAGATTCTCGCGGAAAGGGAGCCCTGTAATGTAAACAAGATGAGGTTTATGAGTGAGTTTACAAGAAGACCAACCATAGCCATTCGAATCACATGTTATAATCGTTGCGTTAGTCACACTTCAATGACTCCCTACTCCCCACTTAAAAAAACCGTAGCTAGTGGCAAATAATTTCCACGGGCTGGGGAGGAAACACGAGTTCCTCGTTCCCGTCAGACTTTATAGCTTACCTTCCTATGCTTTCCCCCCGAGTTCCCGTCAGACTTTATAGCTTACCTTCCTATGCTTTCCCCCCGAGTTCCCGTCAGACTTTAGAGCTTACCTTCCTATGCTTTCCCCCCGAGTTCCCCGCCCGGCTATGTAACATTCGTTTGACTCACCGTTCCAATCATGTTATATCTTTCGAGTTTCCCATATCGGCTAATTTACATTACCAAGATTCCCCGTTCAGGCCATGGTACATCTCCCAAATTCCCTGTCTCGGTTAACATGTATATCTTAAACTCCCAGTTTAGGCCATGCTCGATTCCCCTAGTTCCCAGGCCCGTCTCGGCTACGCTTCATTCTCCGGATTTCCTATGAGCCATGCGACACTCCCCCACCTGACGACTCATAAGAAGTTGGTCTTACATCATGTTATACCATTATTCTCTGCGCCTCTCTGCCCGACACTGCATTGAGATCGTAAGGAAAGCTTACAAAATGTTCTCTCCTGGGGAATCAAATGGATGGCAAATTTACCGAGTGCCTTGTTAAAAAAATCGGTACTCTATAGTTTTTCCTGTTTTGGCATCGTGACATGCATTTAAGCAGATTGCTAAGGAACATTAATTACAACCTCCTTAAAAAGCAGTCTTCCGCAAAAGCTTTTAGCAGTATAATCACATTCATGCACCCCAGGTAGCAAACCTTTTCCGCTCCCTGAATAGAATTTGCCGAGGGTTTCTATTTTTTGCTAAGTTCTCGCTAGAAACCTGCACCGTCATTGCGTTCAATTAATATCGAACTACGTCAATATGATGCAAGTGGAAATTACTATGTTATTCTCTCTGGAATTGCTCGTGAAATTATCAGTTTTGTGCCTATAACAATGGTCATGAATGCAGTTTGCTTTCACGGGTTTCGTTCCGAGAATTACAGTGCTATCAAAACAATTCGTTGATAATACTCGCAAAATTGTTGCGTTAGTTCATTCCGGAAATGGTTGTGAAATTACTCATTACAATCTTTTCATAATGCTTAATCATGACATACTGCATTTATTAGTATTCCGATACAGAAAATATTAGTTGTAAAAGCTAGCTTTGAAAAGTAATGTTTTACAATTACATCAGTTAATGGAATGGTGTTTATTTCATTCATAATTCTCAAGCCAGAGTATATCAGGAAATGGTGTCTGTAAATAGCAATTTGGTAACTGAACAAATTTGTAATTTGAAATTGAGCCGAACAACAGATCCAGAATCTATAACAAATGTGTTGCCAATGAGAAGCGTTTCAATCAATATTTCGTCTTCATTTCAGAATTCTGAGAAAATTTTTGAAATAAAATTAATTGCTTTGACATATACATTCTCACTGATTTCAAATGCTGTTGAAATTGTTTTATGAGGTGGCCGATCACGTTAAACCTCCATATTTCAGAGAATCTCAAACACTGGCGACGAGAAATACTTGTTCAGACTCAAAATACCTTTGATTACTTAACCTGGCACTATCGTCTTTAACAACACAAATGCAAATAAATCTGTACTGCAAAACAAAAACTTCTTTAGAATTTAAAAGTGGATAATTGCTTAAGGCGGGAGGCAAAGTTTCAGATGAATGGCAAAACTATTTGACCTTGAGTCAACTTTTCATTCAAAACATTGGTTATATCGTGATGTTATAACTCGAACTGAAATTTATCGAATGGGAATGTGATATCGTGAGGCGTGGAATCCTTATTGCACGCACTGAAAGGCAATATCAAGTGATATATTTCGGGCACAGAGTCTCTTATTTTCGTCAGCAACATCGCGTGACATTACAAGAAAGTTGGCTAATATAATTGGTTTGGATGGAAACAACTGTTATGGATTCGCTCCAAACCGGAAATAACAAGACGAAAATGCAAGCGAATGTAGTGTGCAAAAAACATCAATCGTGCGTATAGATGACAATATAATCTTTTGATAGTAAGGAGCTTTATAAACCAAAACTTGCACATTCCTATGATAAAAATCCACGGCCTTTCAGCGCTATCCACACTCAACATGAGATTGAAAAATTCTTTGACAGAAAATGCACTTTGGCGATCACAGATTTTTTTCAACTTTGTTTTGCTCTTGTAAAGAAAAATTTAAGGGTTGGTGAAAGTTAAACTGCTTTGAATCCGGAAAGAATGCTCAGAAAGTTTCTGTTTTAGTGCATATTTCAGCCCTTAACATTTCTACATTCAAAAAACCTCAAATTAAAATTACAAAAAATAAAAAAAATACGAGTCTCACATATATACATACACACGTTTCAAGAATTCAGTTTATGTCAAATGAAATACTCCAGGGTCTCATGCAAAAACATAAAAGAAGGAATTTCCATTTACAACTCAATTTGAAGCAGCGCACGAAAGAAGTACTTTCATTAGAAACTGCGCAACACCAATTGTATCATTCTTAAATTTTGAAGTTTGAACCACCAACAGTGCAGCATGAGAAAGTACTATATATTATGAGCCTTACTTAAATATGATAACAGATTGGATCTTGAGTTTTTAGCCACCATGATCTGAGAGCACAGCTGAAGATAAATTGATATCTATCCATTGCAACATTTCAAATGTTTAGATTCGAACTAGCACGCAGTTAGTTAACATAAAACACGAACTTTTCACATTTTCGACGAACATTTTTGCTTCCATTTAAAATATGCTTTTGTTTCGCCTAAGTCACAACATACCAGAGCTAGTTAAGGCTACGATAGCACCCAAATGAAAGGGCTCAATATAAGGAGGTTTTTCTTGGACATACCTTTTTTCTTGTTCGACTTCTACCTATCTGAGAAATTCCTATACGCTTCGTGTCCTTAAAAGTTATAACGATGTTAATTTTGATGCGTCGTACGTTTTCGTAACCTCGATTTAGTTCATACGGCTCGAAGCGCGCTTACACATCCAGTGATCTTCATGCTCTATTTACCAGCAAAGCACTGAATCACTTTATTCAAGTACTCTTGTCATACAAAGTAAATTAATCACCCTTTATCAACGAGGTGTCAAAGAACTACTTTGTCTATTAAATTAAGGGCGACCGGAGTCCAATCCTTCTACGTGCCCTGGTCAACGCTCGCGCGGCACTCCGCCATCTTAACTGCAGAAAACATCATTATGCTTTGTAAAACTTTCCGGGTTCAGTCTTAGAAGCTCGGGTATTGATTCTAGGCGTGTCTATGCATTCCTCCACTTCATTGATTGATCTAAACATTTTTAGATGACGTAAATACGAAAAACTGCTTTTGTATGTGAACAGTAAAACAATTTCCCCGTAGGGTTCTCGTGCCAGAATATTCCTTGATGCGCATCAAACGTGCAGATTTAACAATTAACGGCGACCAAAAAATGATAGTTTGCTGTCTCAGCTTTTCCTCCATTTTATGGCCATACTCTTGCATAAGTATCTCCTCGGCTTGAGAGACAGGAGAATTCTCGTAAAGTAGCGTTTTTGTGTGTTTTAAGTGACAGAAATCGTCTCGCACCGAGCATTATGCAAGTTAGGATGTTTACCAAATCGGCATTTTCTTTCGTTGTTTGTAAACATGGAATCGCTCTTCCGAGATTTTACGTCAAAAAACCGCAGCCAAATGCGACTATGGCTATATTTCCGTTCCTTTATTCGCTTAGACACACAAAGAAATTTCGTCAAAGTGCGGCCGCCTACCAAAAAGTTGCGGAACTTACTCGAGCGTATATTATATATCATATCTATAAACAAGCACGCGTTCAAATGAAACGCTCTAAACATTACGTAAACCTACCTCTAAACAAATATTACACATAAACCGGAGAGAGATGCTTCCTTTATGAACTGCTCTTAAATTTGATATAAAAAACATAACAGGTTACCTGAGTTGAAGGCGTCACTTCTTGTCCAATCTAGATGACTAAAAAAAAATTCCCACTTTGCATATTGTCTCGAACTCGTACTCTTCAGTCCAAACGATACCGTTGAAAGCGCATGCACGGAACTTCAAGATGACTTTCGAAACTTGCCAAGAGCTTGAGTTTTATCACTCCTAAACTTGTACGCTCTGACCAAACTCAGATGCAGCGAAAGTTTGAATGTAAACGAGGAACTTAAGAGACTATTAACTCTAGCACTTCGATCTACGTAAGAAGTTCACGCTCCAGCGAAACTCTATAAAACATGAAGAGGTTCACGAACACTTAACGAACACAAAGCACTTATATACCTCTTTACTTCCAAAATATATAATATTATACATCTTTACTTCCAAATATATAATATTATACCTCTTTACTTCCAAATATATAATATTATACCTCTTTACTTCCAAATATATAATATATTGAAATACATAATATATTGAAGTAGCAAACGTTTTGTTTTAACTACATCATTGAGGTTTAAATAAAGCGAAAAGCAAACTAGACCCGCGAGAAAATTCTTGATTGGAAGTGTGTGCAGTAGTAAGTTTCAGCCACCATTTAAATATTTGCGTGCATGCAAAGAACGACAAAGTCCAAAGCTCTCTGACTTATCCTCGGGCAAATTTGCTCATATTTCAACTTCGTAACATGTGTCTGCACGCGAGAAGTTTTGCAAAAAAGCTGACTCTCAAATAATGCGGATATTTTCAATGGCTTTAACACCACAAATGTTTCTCTTAACCGAGATGTTATCTACGACAGCAATTTAAAAATTTATCGACGAAGATATTACCCAAACAAAATGTGTCTAGACAAATGTTCGAAAAGACAATTTGAGCGTTTGAAACGCTGTCACGAGATATTTTTCTCTCATGAGTT